TTTATTTTTGCTTTTATTTCTGTTGCTTTGAGAGACTGACCTAAAAAAAATTGGTATGATTTATGTCAGAGAATGTTTTGCTTATGTTTTCTTTTAGGAGTTTTATAGTGTCATGCTTTATTTTTAAGTCTTTAAGCCATTTTGGATTTATTTTTGTGTATGGTGTGAGGATGTTCTAACTTTATTGATTTACATGTGGCCATTGAACTTTCCCAACACCATTTGCTGACTTTTCCCTGTTCTATATTCTATATTCTTGACTCCTTTGTCAAAGGTTAATTGACATACGTGTGTGGGTTTATGTCTGGGCTTTTACTCTGTTACATTATCCATCTGTCTGTTTTTATGCCAGTACCATTTTGATTACTGTAGCTTTGTAGTATCATCCAAAGTCTAGGAGGGTTTTGCCATCTGCTTTGTTCTTTTTCCTCAGGATTGCTTTGGCGATTCTGGGTCTTCTATGGTTCCATATACATTTTAGGATTATTTTTTCCAGTTACGTGAAAAATGTCATGGGTAATAGATTGCTTTGGGTACGATGGCCATTTTCATGATGCTAATTCTTCCAATCCAAGAGCATGGAGTATCTTTCCATTTCTTTGAATCCTGTTCTTTTTCGTTCATTATAGTTCTCAGCATATAAGTTTTTAATCAGGTTTATTCCTACGTTTATTTAATTTTTTGGTATGATTTTTAAAGGAATTTTTTTTGCATTCCTTTTTTGACATTTCATTGTTAGTATAAAGAAATCCAACCTATTGTGATATTTGAAGTGCAAGAATCTTTAAAAAGAAGTAGGAAATATACTTTGGCGATCATTTTAAATTCAGAATCCTTGCATATCTGTTTTTGCTGAATACTTTTTAGTTTTAGTTAAGCTTGACTTTGAATGAAAAGAAATAGATGTTTGATGTATTCAATTGATCTTCCATTTCACAACTAGATGTCAGTGTTAACATACCTGATTATGTTTCAGGTTGATTATAATGAGGTAATTCAAGAATTACTCACCTATATGAGATATAGTTTAGACAAAAATGATAAGGAAAAGAAGAAAAGCAATTTTCCTTGTTTCAAAGGAGGCCAGTTAATTTTATATTTACATTCTAAAATGTTTTTTCCTCACATTAACTATGTATGAACAATTAAACTTTTTGATTTATTTGGTTAGGAAAGACAGGTGGAGTGTGTACTTATACCTTTTACTGCCAACAACCAGAGGTTCTTCCTTCCAGCTTTTCCAGAAAGTATGATCAGAAGAGGGAGGAAAATAATCACTATTCAAGCGTGGTGTGTATGTGTGTTTCTTGCCCACTTACTAAGAAACATGTTTAAGAGCAGGAATTATGCATGTAATTCCAGTGACATGTGTAACATTTCACTTCAAAGTCTCATAACTAAATCTGCCTTTTTTTAACTTTAAGACTCATGTAAATGGGAATATGATACCCCTTATCCTTTCCTTGTAGATCTAATCTGACAATTTTTAAAAATAATTTATGCTTTGTTCATCTAATTATACAGTGTCTCACCTTTTTTAAAAATCTATGCTTCCTGTTAATATTAACAAATATGCAATCCATAATAAACCAGAAATATCATGAATAAAATCCAGGTAAAGCAATAGATCAAAATACTGAAAACACATCCTTCCTTTCTACTTTCCCAAAATATCCCCAACTCTCTTCCCTCTGAGAATTACTACTCTTGGACCACTTAAAGTGATGGGGCTCCCTTAGGAAAAATCTACTGCATTATATTTGTTTGGATTTTTAAAACATTTTCAAAATCTGTATATGCAGCTTAACAAAGATTTTTGAAGGCTATAGATTTAAAGTATACAGTAAGAAATACCAAGACAACTTGTCTTTGGAACTCAGTTTAAGGTTTTGGTAGAATTGAAAGGCTTGGTTTTTAAGAGTATTATTTAAATAGTTTAACTTTTTCCTTAACACACTCATGCTGCTGCTGCTGAGTCACTTCAGTTGTGTCCGACTCTGTGCAGCCACATAGACGGCAGCCCACCAGGCTCCCCCGTCCCTGGGATTCTCCAGGCAGGAACACTGGAGTGGGTTGCCATTTCTTTCTCCAGTGCATGAAAGTGAAAAGTGAAGTTGCTCAGTCATGTCCGACTCTTAGTGAACCCGTGGACTGCAGCCCACCAGGCTCCTCCATCCATGGGATTTTCCAGGCAAGAGGACTGGAGTGGGGTGCCATTGCCTTCTCTGTAACACACTCATACCTCAAAACAATTCTGTTTTGAAAAGGTAGGGTGAACTAGTGTCAGGAAGATCTTAGTATGTTTATTTTTCATCATGGAAATAACTTTCTAGGTCATGTGGTAGATCCTAATTTTATTACAGTCTAAAATATGTGCACACAGTGCATTTGTTTATTGACTTTAAAAATCTATCGTTTTCTGAGACAAAATTTTTGGTTCATCAGTTTTTGTATCATCACATAAAACATGCATTTGGCAGTTGTTTTTTGTCAGTTTTTATGTCTTCCGGGCACATAATACAAGAACATAAAATTAATTATTGATTGTGGTACAGATTTGGCACATCACTGTGGGTTTTCAGTCAGCCTGTAAAAAGAGAAAAATCACATCAACTAACTCCAGGCAGTCCCAGCTTGCTGTATATATAATAGAAATGCAAGCAGGCGGCATCATGCTAATTACAACACTTCCTGTTTAGTAACACAGAGGAATAGTTCAATGAAATTTACTTAATTCCGAGCTCTCTTACAATGATTAGTAGTTGCTTAGTTCTTAACCTTGATTATAAGGTTTGTGATTTTGCAAATTGATTCTTACATACTAATTTTTGTTATTTGTTTAAAAGCCGCCTTCATTTATGTTTCAAGATCTCTCTGATACCTTTGACAGAGATATAATTTAGAACTTAAATTTACTTTATACGAAGGCAGATAAACTAATTATTGGATTTAAACTCAGTCAGAGGCAGCTGTGTATGATATTACTAACTGGACCGTGAAGCTTCCAGTGACCTATATACAAGGCAGCAGAGTACCTAGAGGGAGTTGGTCCTAGCCCAGGTTCCTGAGCCTGGTAGTAGACGTGTAGTAAATACATACTCGGATGCATTTACCCCCTTGTTTCTCTCTGGCATCATCTTTCTTAGGCGTCAGTATAGTGTTGAGATTGTTTCTGAGTGTCTGTTTGCTTCCTCTTTGCCCCATCTTCTGTGATCTGGTTTTTATTTCCAGGTCTTTATTACATGTGGCCTAGCACCTCACATCCTAATGTTTTTCTCTTTCGTGTTTTGATCTTTGGGCTGCCAAATTTAACTATTAAAAGAAATGGTTATTAAACAAATAGCTATTTGGAGCTACTATTTAACTTTGTAATACTTTGATGATTTTCCTAAGACCTCTCAAATACTTTTATTTCAAGAACTCTTCACATTTTCTACTGATTTGGGGCAGGGTTTACACATAATTGGGTTTGTATGTGTTTTGATAAAGAAGTGCAAAAAGGGTGGTAATTGCAAAATACAACAGCAGTTACAAATTTTGACTGCTATTTTAAGACTGTACCAAAATTCTCTGAATCTGAAAGCATTATGAAAACATCTTTCTTCAGCAGCAATGAAGGAAGACATACCCTTGCAATTATTTCTTTTGTTCTTCTTATGTTCTCTGCTGATCTGTCAACATTTTTAATTTTTGGTCTGTGAAATTTTTATATTGGACACAAATTAATTTTTCTTTTTTTTTTCCATTTATTTTATAGTTGGAGGCTAATTACTTTACATCATTACAGTAGTTTTTGTCATACATTGAAATGAATTAGCCATGGATTTACATGTATTCCCAATCCCGGTCCCCCCTCCCACCTCCCTCTCCACCCGATCCCTCTGGGTCTTCCCAGTGCACCAGGCCCGAGCACTTGTCTCATGCACCCAACCTGGGCTGGTGATCTGTTTCACCCTAGATAATATACATGTTTCAATGCTGTTCTCTTGAAACATCCCACCCTCGCCTTCTCCCAGAGTCCACAAGTCTGTTCTATACATCTGAGTCTCTTTTTCTGTTTTGCATATAGGGTTATCGTTACCATCTTTCTAAATTCCATATATATGTGTTAGTATACTGTAATGGTCTTTATCTTTCTGGCTTACTTCGCTCTGTATAATGGGCTCCAGTTTCATCCATCTCATTAGAACTGATTCAAATGAATTCTTTTTAATGGCTGAGTAATATTCCATGGTGTATATGTACCACAGCTTCCTCATCCATTCGTCTGCTGATGGGCATCTGGGTTGCTTCCATGTCCTGGCTATTATAAACAGTGCTGCGATGAACATTGGGGTGCACGTGTCTCTTTCAGATCTGGTTTCCTTGGTGTGTATGCCCAGAAGTGGGATTGCTGGGTCATATGGCAGTTCTATTTCCAGCTTTTTAAGAAATCTCCACACTGTTTTCCATAGTGGCTGTACTAATTTGCATTCCCACCAACAGTGTAAGAGGGTTCCCTTTTCTCCACACCCTCTCCAGCATTTATTGCTTGTAGACTTTTGGATAGCAGCCATCCTGACTGGCGTATAATGGTACCTCATTGTGGTTTTGATTTGCATTTCTCTGATAATGAGTGATGTTGAGCATCTTTTTTTAATTTTTTAATTTTTCATTCCATTTAAAAACTTACCTAAGCCTTCAAGGAATGAATTCTGTGATATGTAAGTTACATGTTAATAAAGCTATTAAAAAAAATTTTACCTGAAACTTCCCAAAACTTACCTAAAAGCATTTCCAGTGGTAGTGGGAAGCAGAATTGTATTAATGTTAGAAGATGAGGAACAAATTGTAGTTAATTTCTAAATTTCCAAGCCATAGGACTTTTAAGAATATCTTTCACTTTTATGTGTTTGGTTTAATTTAGGAAAACTTTCCATTTGACTCATAAATGTATACCTTAAAAGAGGAAGGAAAGCAAATATGAGAGATAATGATTAAAACATTTGTCTTATTTTTAGCACCAGAATGTTGTTGAGAGAGATGAACCAGAGGTACGTAAATATTCCACTTCCCACCTAGTTCTTCCTGGCTTTGTTGTCGACTGACAACCTGAGATCTGACTAGATAATTGAGGAAGTGAGGAAATGTACTACAAAATTCTGTGATTTTAGCTCTTTTCTACAATGAACAAATTGATGTTAAGGACTTGACATTCTAAGATATTCCATTTATCATTACAGAAAGCTGTGTACCTGCACAAGTGGTGGCCGCTGTTGATGTAAACACTGTTGCTAACGAAGTGTACAAGTATAATTTTCCTCACACACAGTTACTGGCCAGGACAATTGAAGTGAGTAACAGTTATTATTGTTTTAGTAAGTATATAGCAAGTAAAAATGTGATTGAGGAATACTGCAAGATACTGATTTGTGGTGTCTTCATTTGCAGATAAGTCATATGTAAATGAAAAGGTTTAGAAGAGAATTAAATTTATATTTTTTAATTTTTTCAGAAGGTAGCATGTTATTTTTTTTCTTTTTTCCTTTTTAAAAATTTCTAGCTTTAGAGAGATACAATCAGTAATTTGGTCTTGAAAGAATTGAAATGTAAGCATATACTCTACATCTAAATGTTTAGTTTTATAATGATATTAAACTTGGCTTAATTCTTAACTTTTAAGCAGTACTCAGGTACAATATATACATAGCAGGAGTGGAAAAAGAGAAGATGAAAAAAAAATCATTGGTTTTATTATTGGGTTGGCCAAAAAAGTTCATTCAGGTTTTTCTATAAAGGTGTAGGCAAAAACCAGAATGAACTTTTTGGCCAACCCAATACTTACTGAATGCTCAGTTCAGTTCAGTTGCTCAGTCATGTCCGACTCTGCGACGCTGTGAACCGCAGCACACCAGGTGTCCCTGCCCGTCACCAACTCGCGGAGTTTACTCAAACTCATGTCCATCGAGTCGGTGACGCCATCCAGCCATCTCATCCTCTGTCGTCTCCTTCTCCTCCTGCCCCCAATCCCTCCCAGCATCAGGGTCTTTTCCAATGAGTCAGCTCTTCGCATGAGGTGGCCAAAGTGTTGGAGTTCCAGCTTCAGCATCAGTCCTTCCAATGAACACCCAGGACTGATCTCCTTTAGGATGGACTGGTTGGATCTCGTTGCAGTCCAAGGGACTCAAGAGTCTTCTCCAACACCACAATTCAAAAGCATCAATTTTTTGGCGCTCCACTTTCTTCACAGTCCAACTCTCACATCCATACATGACCACTGGAAAAACCATAGCTTTGACTAGACGGACCTTTGTTGGCAATGTAATGTCTCTGCTTTTTATATGCTGTCTAGGTTGGCCATAACTTTCCTTCCAAGGAGTAAGCGTCTTTTAATTTCGTGGCTGCAATCACCATCTGCAGTGATTTCGGGGCCTAAAAAAGTAAAATCTGACACTGTTTCCACTGAAAGTTACCTTAAAAAAATTTTTTTTTAATTGAAGAATAATCACTTTACAATATGGTGTTGGTTTCTGCCATACACCAACATGGATCAGCAATAAGTATACGTATTTCCCTTCCCTCTTAAATCTCCCTCCCACCTCACTCCATCCCACTCCTCTAGGTTGTCACAGAGCCCCAGTTTGAGTTCCCTGAGTCACACTGTAATTCCACTGATTATCTATTTTACATATGGCAGTGTATATGTTTCCATAATACTCTCTTCTTGTTGAAGCCTGTTGAAGGTAAAGATAGTTTTTTGCTTGTGATGAACTCAGCAGAAGTATTTAATGCGTTATTACTTTCAAAATACAGTGTAGTATGAAATTGTGTTTTTGCTCCCAGTTTTATGTTGTGAAAATTTTTACACATATTTCTCCTGAAACTGTAATTTATATGCAAGAAACTGCACTCTTTGTGTATAGTTTGAGTTTTGACCAATGTCCATGGGGTCACAAGAGTCAGACAAGACTGAGCACACACATTCATACAACCGAGTCACCACAATTGAGACTTTGGAACGTCCATTACCCTAAAAGGTTCCTAAGTGTCAGTCTCTGACCCCAGCCCTAGGCAACCACTGATCTGCTTTCAGTCATTACAAATTAAATATTCTATTTCTAGTATACCATAAGTAAAATCATGAGTGTAGTTTTTTGTGTGACTTCTTTTGTTTAGTGTAATGTTTTTGCGTTGTATCAATCAGTAGTTGCCTTTTCATTATTGTTCCCTGATATTCTGTATGTACAGGTATTTGTGGAAATTTCATATTGCAAAATGTGTATCCATTCACATGTTTGAAGTTTAGATTGTTTCCAGTTTTTGACTGTTATAAAAAGTTTGCTGTGAAGATCCATGTAGAAGTTTTTGTGTAGACTTTTTTTTTTTTCTTGTGGGTAAATACCTAGGAGTAGAATTGCTGAAGTGTATGATAGACTTTAATTTTATGAGAAAATGCCAACTGTTTTACATAGTGTTCATACCATTTTTTAGTCACACAGTCAGTGTTTAAGTCTTTAAGTTATTTTGCATCTTTACCAAAAGTTGCTCTGGTCAATCTTTTAAATTTTAGCCACTCTTGTGAGCATACAGTGATATTGTGATTTTAATTTGCATTTTCCTAGTGACTAATAATGTTGAGTACTTTTTCATGTGATCATTGGCCATTTCTATGTCTTCTTTGATGAAATTTCTTTTCTATTTTTTTTTTTTGTTGTTGTTTTTTTATTGTTTGGTATGTTTGTACTTTACAGAAGGAAAGTATTTACAGAAGGAAAGTAAGTCTCAGAATTTACTCCCTCCAGACAGAAGCAAAAGTCTCACAAATTTTATTTAAGTAAGATATAATTCATTATACCATGAAGTCTACCACTCTAAAGTGTACATTCTTAGCATTTTTCTTTTTTCATTTACTGACAAAGTTGTGTAAGGATTACCACTTTCTAATTCTAGAATGTTCTCATCCCCGTAAAAAGTAATCTGGTACCCATTAGCAGTGACTCCCCATTTCTCCTTCCCTCCAGGCCCTGGCAACCACTAATCTACTTTCTGCCTCTATGGATTTGACTTTTCTAGACATTTCTATAAATGGGATCATATAATATGTGGCCCTTTTTTGTCTGGGTTCTTGCACTTAGCATGTTTCCATACAGACGTGTTGTAGCATGTGTCAGGGCTTCATTTCTCTTAATGGCTGAATAATATTCCATGACATGGATGTACCACATTTTGTGTATCCAACAGGTTTGTTTTAAGCTTTCTTTTAGCTGGATATGAAATAGGGCCATTTCCTGGCTCTGGGATTGGGTATTCACAAGGTAAAAGTCATCTGTTTATGTGTTGAAGACCATCTGTCACTGATACTGAGAAGAGAATATTTTTCTCCACGAGCCTCATCGAGAGAAGTGCTATGGGTATAACATCATCCTTCCAGTAACTGGTAGCAGTGCACTTCATGAACATCGTGGCAAACTGCACTAAGTCTACCAGTCTCATCCTGGACGTAGGGCAGAAGTAAATACAGGGTCAGGAGAAACATATCTGCTAAAAAGTAACTGAATTGACTCATATGTAGGCAATCTGCATTTAGGTTCCAAAATTTCTGTGACATAGATTATGATAGCAAAATTTATTTTATTAAAAAAAAATGGATCTAAGTTTAATGTAAGTATTTAAAAGTTGATGCAGCCAAATGTCCCAATTCAGTAAGGGTTTTCTCCCACTGAACAAAATATGAAACAACAACGAAATCTCAGTAAAGCACCCATTACGTTTGATGACTTAACCTTTTTTTTCTTTTTTACCTTCTAAGGGAAACTGTGAGACACTTTATGAATTTGGGGTTCCCAACTACATGCCAGAAGAAATTTGGGGGCATTTAGAATAATATATATGTAGCCATTTTTCTAGTGATAGCTCTATTTCAGTACTAGTTTTAATAGATGATAATAAATCATATTATCTGCATATGAAATTAGAATACTAGGGAGAGGAAAGAATGGAGATAGGTACCTCCCGCTCATTTGAGAGGAGAGAGTCAGTTCATTAAAACGATGTCTATGAGAAAGAAGACAATGTGCCTTCCTACAGCTGTTAGTCTCTTCTTGGATGTTCTCTTCAGCCCTCTTCTGTAATGGAAAGAGTGTGTCATGTCCAGAGCAAATGTATCAGAAGTACATGGAGGGTCATGCTTAAAAAGCAGTTGGAAGTTTAATGGAGAACTTAGGAGTAATGAGAGACTGAAGAGATTTTAAGCTTCATAAGCAGGAGGAGAAGGGGACGACAGAGGATGAGATGGTTGGATGGCATCACCGACTCAATGGATATGAGTTTGAGTAAACTCCAGGAGTTGGTGATGGACAGAGAGGCCTGGTGTGCTGCAGTCCATGGGGTTGCAAAGAGTGAGCCGTGACTGAGTGACTGAACTGAACTGAACTGAAAACAACATATTCTGATCATCTGAAACTTGAGAACATTGACTTCATGCAAGTTATTGAGCCCTTAGAGGAACACAGATATGACTGAGAACTAGTCTTTACCTGGAGAAACTTACAGCTTAGTGCAGAAGTTGAACTTGTGAACAGTTTTGGGGGGGACCTCTGATTGAATCTGGCAAAGACAAGATATTTCTATTCTAAAATTATATTTCTTTTCCTAATAGAAATAAGAAGAGAAAAGAGGGGATGGGAAACCATTATGAATGAAAATAGGATTTAAACAGAAACCAAAACAAAAAAGAAAACTGAGAAAAATAATGTCAGATGTAGTGGCAATAAGACACAGTGAATCAAGATGGCAAAATTGCATTCGGATCTCTGTGTCTCATACAGCTTTGAGAAGGACAAGGGAAGAGACAAAGCAGACCCAGCAATTGTTTGTTCAAAGTGAGGAGAAGAGACATTAAAAATTCCAAATCAGTGGGCTGAAAACATCACTGCAGGCTCTGCGGACTTCTTGCTCATCCTAAATGTGAGAACATGGATTAAGGACAGGGGCATGGTCTTGAGCTAGAGAGCTTTGTGGGTTCTTCTCAGAAACTGCAGTGACAAAGTACCTGCTCTCTCGTTCACCTGTTTAGCAAATTTCTAGACTCAAGCGATCTCCATTAAAGTATATATATATATATATTTTTTATATATTAGTAATTAGAAAGGAGCCTTTGAGGCTATGCTGATATAGTACATTTTGAAGGAAGAAAATAACATAAACAAGCAGAATATTTACAGAAAAATTGTATTAAGAAGCAGAAGAAAATTACAAACACACATCTCTATTAGTTTGCCCTTAAATAAAACTTGATATCTTTAAGAACTCAAATAAATGTATTGTTGTTCAGTCACAGTCATGTCCAATTCTTTGCAACCCCATGGACTGTAGTATGCCAGGCTTCCCTGTCTTTCACCATCTCCTAGAGTTTGAATCAGTGGTGCCATCCAATCATTTCTTCCTCTGTCATCCTCTTCTCCTCCTGCCTTCAATCTTTCACAGCATAATGGTCTTTTCTAAGTCGGCTCTTTGCTTCAGGTGGCCGACATATTGGAGCTTCCTTCAAAAACAACAATAAGACAATAAATTTGAAAACTATCAGTGGTCTGGGAAGAAGAAAAAAAGATGAGAAAAATAAAACCATTATAAAAATAAAAGTCATGTCAGAGTGGCAAACAGAAGACAGCAAAACAAATGGGACAAAACATCAACAGACGTAAATGAAAAACATTCCTGAAATAAAACCTCCAAGAATTCATGAACTGTATTACCTGTGAGCCCTTACTGAAAAAATGGTTCAGCCACTTAATCTAACTAAGCAAGAGGTGAATCAGAGTGGAAAACCCAGAAATAAAGCTGCCATGTTAGGAAAGAAATTATGGTCAGGAAGCAAGGTGAGAGTGTTATAAATCTTTGCAGTATAAAAATACTATAATTGGAGTAGGAAGGGAAAGTAAGACTCAAGAAATATGTCTATTCTTTGAAAGATAAACGAAGCTGTAGATTTTTAGGACATTATTTCATGTTGTTGTCAGGAGCTCAGCTGAGCTGTCAGGGATCAAGAGTAGCTGATTAAAGCAACAGGGCAACAGTGAAAGAGTGAAGCCTTAATTACTTGCTGTAGAGAAAATGCCCTGCCCCAGTTCTGTTTCCCTAGGGTACAGCACCCTGCTGGGAAGTTGAGTGGATCAGCAGACATGGGAGTCAGCTAACAGTTGAGGGAGCCCCTGGTATTGGGGGAGAGAGTGCGATTTGCTGGGTATCGTCATAGCAAGAGAATTATCTTCAAGGGCTTCTCCTCCTCCCAGAAGGAGGCCTTGGCAGAAATAGATGGCGGGTGAAGAGGACTCTGTGCCCACAGATGGAGAGACCTTGGAATGCAAATATGTGAAGAGCATGACTTTCCAGGGGGCCTGAGACCTTGCACTTCCTCTCAGAGACTGCCAGGCACTGGCCTTGCTCCAGGTCTGGAGTGGGGAGGATGACTTTCCCCAGCACCTGCTGGGTGAGGCCTTTGTCGTGACCTGGGGTCAGGCCTGAAAAGTGCATGTAGGTTTTTAACCAAGAATAGGACAGTTACAAAGATAATTAGTAATAAAACTAAAATCTGGTATTTATCTAGATAGGAGATGGAAAATTACTAGTTACTGCAGTATAAACATGTGAGCTGAAAACTTGCTGGATTTGTTCATTGTTGTATTCCCAAACATATCACAGTGCTTAGCGTATTATAGATACTCTGAAATATTGGTGGGTTAGATTATGAACTTTGGCTAATGAACTACATATTGTGCCTAAAAAATGGGAAAATGCCAGGCATAACAGGTATTTCAGAACTGATATAAGATAAGATCTGTCTAAAGGCAAAAAGTATTTATGAGTCATAGAAAATTGCTTTATAATGGGGATTAATACAATGATCAAGAAAGTTCTGTTCTTGAACAAAACATGTAATTTTGAACAAATTATTCATGAACAAAACATCATAGTTCATAGGGCAGAAAATAGTATGAAATATCCACTCAGTAAGTTTTTATTAAAGATTTACGATGTGCCACAATATTTTAGTTCTCTTTAGATTAGCAATAAATTCACTAAAACAGTCAAAAGTTGTTGTTTACTAATCTACCAAGTTCTTCCTAAAGTTTAAATGAAAATTAAGTGTAAGAATGACCAGGAAGCTTTTTGAGAAGAGAAGTAATAAAACAAGTAGTGTGACAAAGTTGCTTATCAACACTCGATAAATGAAGTCAGTGCATGAAGTTGATCTAATGTTTTCCGAAAGCAAGCATTTTTTTTTAAACTTGAATGCTCTGGTTATGAGAAAAGAATAGATTTCCATTTGTGTTATTATAAAATATCAAATTATTAAAGTTAATCCATGAATCTCTGTAACTACTTTCTTGAATCCTGTCACATACACTGACCTAGATTGCTAAGTTAAAGATAGTTGTGAATGGTTTGAGTGACTATGTTTTGCATAACTGCTCTGTCATTGGGGTTGTGCTATTTAAAAAAATCACCCTTTCCAAAAATCCTTTAAAATTGTAATTTTGTATGTCTAATAGGAGGTATTGGAGGTATTAACTGCTTACTTCTTTTAGATTCTAGTTAGGATGCTCCTAATGTTAAAAGTTGTTGTTTGGTTTTTATTTTAATTTTAGGAATTTAGCTTTAATCAGTCTACAGTCAGTTGTGAAGTCAATAAGTTGCTTTTCTTAATAGCCCTGTGCTAGCTAGCTGTGTAACTTAAGTACCTGTGATAATGGTCCTGCTCTGCCCCAGGTTTCTGACACACTGTGGAATGTGTGATTTTCAGATTGTTTTCTTTAGAGCTCTGGGTTCTAGAGGTGCTTTGGGGACTTTTCAATATTTAAACTTTTTTTTTTTAATTTAATGAAAGGGCAATGAGTGACAGACCTATTTATGAAGATAAGTCACAACACATTTCTAAGAAGTTCCAGTTCATGAAAAAAGCAGGAAAAGCTTTATTCTGAGTTCTGAAAAGAGTTAACTTGTTGAACACGTCAGTTGTCTGACAGCTAGGAATGTTGGGATACTGGGCTTGTTTTAAATTTCTGGCTGAGAGTATATGCTAACAGAGCCTAATGAGAATTGGCCAAACCCATGATTTTGTATTTCTCTGTATTTGTCTTCTGATACTGTATATAAAGGAGCAAAACAGTACATCTTAAAACTATTTAGCCCAGTAGGCATTGTTTTGGTTAATCTTGTTTTACAGAACCTCAAAAGATTATAAGGTTCTTTGACTGCACACAACTGTAAAACGGTATGCAGATATCTGAAAGTGGGACCCTTTTCTGTTTGGCGATATATTGACAGACACAGGAGAGAAGTGGTGACTAGTCAATACATCACATTTTCTAAATAAATAATAGAAAGGTGTTAATAATTCTCTAGATCTTTTGCTGAAATTAATTATGAAATAAAGTTCTCCATGTTTGATTCCTGAAATCACAGCAGTCTTAATTAGACTTGAGGTATCATAGAGGCATGAAATGCTTAGGATCTAACTTTCCAACTCTGCTTAGGCTGGTCCTGGGGTTTGGGGGAAGTCACTTAATCTGTTAGAGCTTCAGCTTACTGCTCTACTTCCTTCACAAAATCACTTTGGAAAGTTAGTTTAACTGAAGTTTATTTTAAAAGTATTAAATGTTTTATAAACTTTTAAGTGTTATAAATAAGCTGTCACAATTTCTGATATATTTAGTTGTAATTAGTTAGCTTGTTTCCTTTTTCCCCCTTCTATGCATGTTTTTATATTCTTTCCCCCCCCAAATATTCATTCCTTAGGGCATTACACTAGAAGAGTTTGACAGATTATCTTTCAATATGATTTTAATGAGCCCACCCTGTCAGCCCTTCACAAGGTATGTATAACACATATTTCTCTGTTAGGAAGAATACTTTTGAAAGACTCATTAAATCAAATATATTGTAATTTCAAGCACAGACACTATAAAGCCCATTCGCTGCATTTCTCTAGTCGTGAAATTTTTCATATGTAATTCTCTTTCTCTATTCATATTTATAACTCAGCATTAATCATGAAGAAAAGAGCAGTTAACTGCCAGATGAGCACAGTGATTTGGTCATAGTCATTGCAGGTATGGCGAGACTATGTGGTACTTCTTTAATACCTAATGAAGATAAAATATTTATTTCTGACCCAAATTACCTTGAATTATTTAAATTAATTGGCATTCAGGAATATCTTCCTAACACTGATTAATCAAAGTCATATTTTTCATAATAAATATTCAAGCCCTAAATTACTTAACTGTAAAATGTTAAAGCTAGTCAAGAATGCATCTGTGAAGTTTGCATTTCTCAAAATTGATACATACATTTAATAATACATACAATTAATAAAATAGCTTTTTTAAAGCTATGTTCCAATTCAGTTTCTTCTTATAAGGTATTTATTTGACTATATATTTCAGGGAATTATATTTTAGGTAAAATCTTGACTAATCTATCTTCATTTAGATATTTTTAACAATAATATTTTTAATTAAGTAATAATGATAATAATGACAACCATCCAAATGTCTTACTAGATTTTGCCATTTAATTCAGTAAGCTTATGGGATGTGCATTAGTATACTGTCTTCTTATAGGTGAGCAGCTGAGACATAGATGGTTTAAGTAACTCTTTCAAGGTCATACAATTAGAAAATGTAAGGGTCAGGATTTATCAATTATTTTGTATCAGTCCATTTAAACATATAATGCAATTTTAAGTTTAGTAAAAATTCAAATTTAAATAAATATTCTGCTCATGCTTAATTTCCACCCAGGTTTTGATTTATTTCAAGTTTTCTAGGAAATTAACTCCTCAAGGGTTTATTGTGCCCCTACATTAGAGATATTGTTTTTAATGCTGCAGTTCTGTTACAGAACTTCAGACTGACAAATATTACTAATTATGACCTTGTAATATGATTTAAGGGGATAATAAATGAATGCTGAAACTGCCATGAGAACATAGAGGAGAAAGGTGTTATATTGCTGCGTATCAGGACAGAGGAATTCTTTAAGAGGTGATATTGGAATTGTGCCTGAAAGCAGATTGGGAATTTATCAAGGAAGGATGACGTTCCAAAAACTCCTTTGTGTAGAATCAAGTCTTTACGTTCCACATAGAGATAGTCCTGGGCTATGCAAGGGTGTGGCCTTTTTGACTGGGGTGAGTGGGAGGCTCAGAGCAGAGTGCAGCCCCAGCACTGGGATGCCTCAGATGTCCCTGCAATGGGGCCCATGTCTTCCCTATGATACCATTCTCGCTCTGTATCAGCCCAGATCCAGCTGCTAATGGCCGCAGAGTCTGATTCTGCAGCACAATCATCATTTGGAACTCAGGGGAAAGGGACTAAATGAGAAGAAACCAAGGTTTCTGAGAAATCTGTTCAAGTCCACTCCTCTCCCATTTGAGCCTCAGATCCACTGATGATTTTGGTCCTGCTATCAGGCATGAGGAGCTGATAAGTGATGTCAAGTAATTTAAGACTTTGAAGCTAATATGTGACAAGGTCTTAAATCCTAATCCTCTGTTGTTATAATTCATGCCCAGTCTAGTCTTCCTTTCTGCTTGGTTCTTGATCATATTGAATGTTATTTATAAGATCTAATTGCTGATCCAAATACCACCTTTTCACATGACCTATTTTGACCTAGTTAGTCTAACCAAGTTGCAACACCTTTGTGTAGAATCAAGCCTTCACCTTTATTGTCTCCCATGTACATTGAACAATCTGATCTTACCTACTATCTTGGTCTACTTGGATGTGATTAATTATCACTGCCATTGACTCTTATGTTTCCACCCTGCCCAACCAGCTCACATCTCTCAACTTCTGGGGCAGAGCAAAAGGTGTCACCAGCCAATTGTGTGTGTGTGTGTGTTTCCAACACAAGTTGATTTTAAGAGGATAATTGTTTTTAATTCTTCATTGACTTCATATTCTTCTTTGCCTCATGTAAGTTATTTGGGCATATTATTTTTTATAAGTACTACAATTACTAGACAGACAAAGCTTTTTTTGTTTTAATTAAATGAATAAATATGTTTTGTTCTTTATAGCAACAGAGATGATCATATTTTTTTTTTGTGAGGACCAACTAATTGTAGTTCTCTGTTTTGCCTTTTTAAAAATGACTTGATATCTTTATGTAAGATTCTTGAACTTATTTTCTTATTCCTTTCAGAATTGGCCTGCAGGGTGATGTGACTGATCCAAGGACAAATAGCTTCTTATATATTCTAGACATTCTCCCAAGGTAAAAACTTAGATTCCTGTACAAGCTTACCATAAGTGTAAAACTTTGTATCTCGAAGAATGTGATGCTTATTGTTTTATAGAGATTAGCAGCTTCTACAGATACTATACATGCCATTTATTTTCTGCCATGACTGATAGAGCAACTGCAAATGTTTGTTAGCACTACAGTGCTGCTAAGTGAGTGACAGGGTGTTACAGCCTAATAGCTGAATTCTATTGCCTCTGCTTATAGGATTAGTGCAGATGATGCTAGTGTTAGTGAATGCTGTTGCCCATGGCATGGAAAATTGCACTGCTAATCCTAGAAGCTGCCATTCCACGTAAACGTCAGCCCTTTGAACTGCCATTCTGTGTACTTCAAAACTCTGTGCAGTCCTGTGTTTTCACTTAAACTTCAGTGGAAATTAACATTTCAAATGTTAACCTTATCAAGTGTGCCATGTTTATGGGGGAAAGGGTTAAAATATGTCATCTCCATCCTTTATAAAATTCTTTTCTAAAATCAGTTTGAACAGTTACCTCATATTTCTCACAAGTAAGGATTTTCTTTGCTTCTTACTTCATAGTATTGAGATGTTTGGAATTCTATTTGGTTTTTTGTTTGTTTGTTTATGTTTTAGATTACAAAAATTACCGAAGTATATTCTTTTAGAAAATGTTAAAGGTTTTGAAGTATCTTCTACAAGGTAAGAAATGTATTTCTCTTGTATTTGTCTTAGAGTTGGTATATTATATAATAAGAGCTGTTGTGAAATAAAGATCTGAAAAATAAATGTGTACATTCTAACATTTAAGATATGTTATGTAGTTTATCATTAATGTAGTTTTCAAAGAGTAATGTGAAGTATCACAAGGTTAGGGTCAGCTGATTCTCTTGCATTTTGATATGTTTGAATTTTTCCAGAATGAGTAATGCGAATGGTATTTCTCAATTTTAGCTGCTTAAGTTGGTGTCCATTTCATTAGAAGTAGGAATATTTTTAGTAAGAATTAGTCCTCTTGACAGGCATTTTCTGTCCTGTTGGATTGAAGAAGCAAGCCCTGTGTCAGGGCCCTTTCAGATGGTTGCCCCACTGGAGAAAATGCAACCAATTAAGTCCTTGATTCACCTGCTGTCTCTGACAGTGTTCCCCTATCTGATTGGCTACAGACATAGCTTCATTCCAATAATGAATTTACCATCAGTGGATTAGCAATATTTTATTTATAATACAGATTATCTATTTTTTTGAGAAATGTAATTTCTCAAGTATTGGACTTAAGACCTAGGATTTTTCTCTTTCTAAACAAGTTGAGTGGAGGTACAGTTTTCACATAAAATGAAGTTTTATATGTAATATTTTATATAAGAACCACATTTCAAACGATAGAGTGAAAGCTTTCTTTCCCTTTGTCTTTTCAGAGATCTGTTAATACAAACAATAGAAAATTGTGGCTTTCAGTACCAAGAATTTCTATTGTCTCCAACCTCTGTAAGTACCACAATTAGAAACTTAAATAAATTTTCCCAAAGGGAATGTGATTCAATAAAAAGAATGGATCCATTTTGGATAACATTATAGGCAAATCTTAAAATTAGTTCAGACATGGTTCCTTCTGTATCTGAATTTTATAGCTATATGTGAATTTTATTTTTTTATGATTACTGTACTATCAATAATGAATGTAAGAAAGTCTATATATCTTCTTACCTGGGAAATATAAAATGACAGTGACTCATAGACATATGATTCATCTGATTCCACATTTGTTTCACTCAAATAAAGGTACAAAGTGACAGTTTAAAAGGTTTAAGAATTTGCTGCAGGAAATCAATCAATGTAATAAACCACATTAACAAATTGAAAGATAAAAACCATATGATTATCTCAATAGATGCAGAAAAAGCCTTTGACAAAATTCAACATCCATTTATGATTAAAACTCTCCAGAAAGCAGGAATAGAAGGAACATACCTCAACATAATAAAAGCTATATATGACAAACCCACAGCAAGCATCACCCTCAATGGTGAAAAATTGAAAGCATTTCCCCTGAAATCAGGAACAAGACAAGGGTGCCCACTCTCACCACTACTATTCAACATAGT